GTACGTCCTTTTTTGTAAGCGCGACTGATTTGATTTCTAACAAACTCAACCCTGTTGCTCTCACAAGCGGTGCGCTGCTGCAGAATCCGAGCCGGGGGATCGCCAAGTCGGGACCGCGTGCAGCCGGCTCCATAGCTCTCTCAATGCACTGCACGCTCCAGCTTTGCCATAGCCTGCTGACTACGAGAATGATGTTGCTTCAAGACCGAATAACCATACCGTGAATGACTTCAAATCAGCCCAGTCTTTGGTCGCGGCCATATAAACCAAGACGCCTTCCGGCAGCTCTCTGAAGTACCTACTAACATTACATGCTCCTCTGACCACCCCAAATGTTCTGCATTCAAACGTGTCAGATAAAGTCCCCAACGATATCCCTCAAGTTGTGGCGTTGCTGTCCTTGCGGAGCATCTCTGCCACATCAGCGTCGATTCCGTCGTCTCCCCCAAGGTCAGGGAAATCGTCCCCGTCAAGCCGGCGTCTCTTGTTAGATCCGTTTGCCGATACTGGGATGGACTGATACTGAGAAGCCAGGTTCGAAAGCATCTCGATGCCAGTAGCGGGAGGCGGCTGGAAAGCCTGGCTTGACGCCGATCGCGCGCGATCCGCCTCACCTTCTCGGAGAACAGGCGGCTCATCGTGGACTGGGGGAGGGGTCAACGCTTCCACGCTAGGCGGCGTGAAAGCCTCGACCGGCGGCGGCGTGAGCGCTTCTACTTCTGGTCTTTCTGGTTCTGGACTCGCAGGTGTTCCGTTGCCCGGCGACTGAGAGGCCTCATGTGTTGGCAACCCACGCATAATGGCGAGCTCGACCTCGCGTCTCTTCTCCTCGGTTTCCGCCTTTCGCTTCGTCAGCTCGGCGTACTGTTTCTCGTCATTGGCAAGCGCCTCCTGGTTCGCGCTTAGAATCTTCTCCAACTCGCCGATGAGATCCTTGCGGGCCTTGACGCATTCGGCAACGGCACCCTCTGCGCTCGCCAGACTCTTGAGCAGACCATTCAGGCGTGCGGCATAGACAGGTGCCGAGGGAACCGGTGTGGACGGGTCGGTGAGCTTCTCAAAATCCTGGTTGGCGGTGCTGATGGCTGTCTTTGTGGGCAGGTTGAGCTTCGAAGCATTCTGGTACGAGGTTACGAGCGGGATGAGCTCCGCTGGGACTGAAGGTCCGCCGCCGATGCCAGGTCCTCCAAAGCTTGCCTTCGCGGTTCCACGGGCCTTGTCGAGCTCTGGTACATGTTAGTATGGCCCTTGAGCGGTTGTTGATGGACGTACCGTCGATGCGCGCTTCGATGGCTTGCTGGATGGGGGGTTCGAAAATGAAGCGGTCCTTCCAGACATCCACCACTCTTCTAATCTTGTTCTGAATCTCAGCCGGCGCGCCCTTGTACGCCAATGCCGTAGCTTCAGCGACGACGGGAGAGAAGGCGACTAAAAAATCTTCCTTGTGCCGCGCCTTTGACTGTTGGGTGACCTCTGTGGCGTGTCAGCAAGAATAAGGCAACGCGACGGACCAGCACCTGCTTACCGTTGGCAAGGTAGATCAGGCTCAGCCGTTTTGTGCTTGATGAGTCCCGCAAACGTTGAAGCCAGAGCTGGACTGTGCGATCCGCATGCCTCCTACGAGTTGTTGAGTCAGTGCCATCATTGGTACCAAGTTGGAGCCAGAAAGCTTACTTGTGGAACATGATCCATTGAGCTGCCGTGGCGATACTGTCGTGACTCTCATTCAGTGCTGACAGCTTCGCCAGCACGGCGTCGTCGTTGTATGCCATGGTTGCTCGGGTAAACCGCGTTTATGCTGCGAATGAGACGGGATGAGGGCGCGCAGTGAGCTCTGCGGACGCGACGTCGCTAATCCGAGTAACCCAGGGCTCCGTTGGATGGCGGTTGGCGATTGATTCCCGTGGAGGGCGCCTTATGGCGCTACCTGCGGTTTGGGTCTTGATGCGCGGGATTGGGGTGCCCCAGAGTGAGAAGAACCACAGCAGGCGCAAGAGGTCTACGATCAATCACTGGGGGCTGAAACTCCAGCAGCAAACACCCTGCTTGCGCAAAGTGTCCGGTTCAGTACATCAGGCGTCCTTTGAACGACAAAGGCAAATAGCGCGAGCGAGAGACTGCAGACCTATCAAATGCTTCCTTTTCTGAGATGAATTGAATGTTTTGCCGGGTGAAAGAAAAATGAAATGCATGAGCATCAGTTCAAAGGCCAAGATGGATCAAAACATTTGCTCCTGGCTCAGACGGATTGCTCTAACCTTAATAGAAATCCGATTCGCTGTACCGGGGCTATGCAGGTAAAGGCTATGGTTGGACTCCAGCCACGACGCAGCACGGACTTCCCTGATGACACAACGCAGGTACCTTTCAAGGCACATTCAACTATCCGATGGGCAGAGCTCCCAATGCTGCACACGGCAATCACCGCTCCTGACCAAGGTAGCGTCACCTGTCAAGTACCTACTTACCTGCCTATCATTTCGCACCTTCACTTCCACCACGTCGACGTCTCCCACCCGAACCAACGAAACGACCTCGAATCAACGGAATCTTGTGCGATTTTACCGTGAGACTTGCTGCGAATACATCTGAGCTGCTGACGACGACGATTCTCACGACTACTACCATCCTTCTCCTTTTCCTTTCTATTTACACACAACACCACCAAAATGGCCGACAGATTCCCTTCGCTGGAGGACTTTGATTCGGGTGGTACGTGAAGACTCAGGGTACTGATGCCAGGTCTAACATCCTTACGTAGCCCAGACCGACATCAAGGACTCGGGTGCCTCCCCCTCTGCCGACGACTTCCTGGCCCGCGAAAAGGCCCTCCTTGGCGAGGATGCCAACCAGTTCGCCACGAGCGACGATGCCGTCGCATTCGGTTCCGGCGACGATGATCTTCTCGGTGGAGGCGGCAGCAGCAATGTCATCGCAGAGGAGTCCACATTCGAGTCGCAGTTCCCCGATCTCGCCAACCAGAACGAGGTTTGCATCTTCGTCCCGGCCGCGTTTGCATTTGCTGACAACCCTCCAACAGGCCGTTGCCCCCGGTGCCATTCCCGGTGGCGGCATCACCGCCCCCAGCGTAAACTACAACTCTGGCTACAGCGCCTACGTCGAAGAAGAGGAGGAGCCTGCTGTCATTCGTGAATGGCGCGAGAAACGAGACGCCCAGATCGAGAAGCGTGCGGAGCAGTTCGCGGCGCAGCGCGAGGAGACCGTCAAGGAGGCCAGAGAGAACATTGACGATTTTTACAACAACTACAACGCCAAGAAGGAGAAGCAGATTTCCCAGGCACGGAAGGAGGCAGAGCAGTTCCTAGCCAGCCGCGAGGACACCGTTTCTGGGGGGACCAGTTGGGAGAGAATCGCAAAGCTGGTTGACGTTAGTGGAAAGGGCGCCAAGGGTGGTGCCTCTGGCTCTGGCAAGGAGCGCTTCCGCGAGATCTTGGTCAGCCTCAAGAAGGATGAGAAGGCACCCGGAGCTAGTGGGTACTAGACATAATGGGAAATGACGAAAATGGGCGGGAGCCGTGCATGGAGGTTCGATACCATACGCAGGCTCCAGAGCACGTGTACTTTAGACGACCTTTTCTGCCAAAGAGGATGGTGCAGGGAAAGGTTGCCATTTGGTAATTCTGACATGCATAGTCGTGAAACTCGATTGCGACGTCACTGTATTCGTCGACTCTACATCGCGTGCAACAGAAAAAATGTGCTGTCTAGTGTCGATTTGGTCTATTGATCGCCTTACGAATCATACAATCTGCCCAACGGTCTTGCTAAAGGAAGCCCTATGTGCTCCATCTAGTTCTTGCCAAAGTAGCTGTTGTAGCCGAGGACCTTGCGAACGCCACCGTACAGGGTGACTGTAAAATGTAAGCAACACGACGTCACCAGAGCGATCAGAGGGAGACTGAGTAGGGGAACGTACGGCCGAGGGTGCCCCAGAGGGCGACGGTGTAGGGGATCATGTAGACACGGCTGCGAGGGTTCTGCGATAATCGAGTCAGTCGACTGGTCGACCGCCGTGGGAGAATTGCGGGCGTGGGACTGCGCCGGCCTAACGTACGATCTTCCAGAGGCGGTTGTGCTCCTTGTAGGCGGTCTGGTAGAACTTCTGGAGCTCCGGAACCTTGTTCTTCGCGTTGACGAGACTGTGCGGACGTCAGAAATGCCCTCGTATGATGTGGTCCTTTGCGCTTCTCGGCAAGCAGCCATGGGCAATCACGATTCGCACGCGATCGACCGCCAGCTTTTGGGGATGCGGATGTTCACGTACGCCATTTTGGTCGATTCAATTGCGAGTTTCGCGGGGAATATTGGTGGGTTGCGTCGTCGTAGGCTTGCTCGTAGTATCGACTTTGAAGACGGTCGGTTCAATCAGGAACATGGGATGATGAGCCTGGATTGGTGGGCCGAAATGGCCGGCTGATTAATCTGACCCACTTTCGCGCACTTTGCCGACGAATGGAACGAAGCTCAAATCGGTTTACTGATGGAGCTGGTTGGCAATATTCTGGTAGAAACTAGTTTTCTCCAAGATTCAATCTTTCAGTCGACCACCCAGCTCCGAGATGCGGCCAGCACCGAAACCTGCACCCCCATAACCTGTCCGCTGCTATGCTTCATGCAGCGTCTCTTCGTACTCGCGTCCCGGTTGTTCACTACGCAGGGCAATGCAATTGGCCTTACAATGTCTCCGTCACTTGAATAGAGCACGCCTCGGCCGGTGCCATCGATATCAAGGACTGGATGCAACCCGGCGAACGTTCTCAAATCCACCGAGGACAGCATGTACCAGACCTTGCAAATCTGGTTGTCGTATTCAGCCTTCGGTCTCAGAGTCTATGACGTGCGACTCCGCGCGGCGGATTTCGCTTCCTGCAGCACAGCGTACCCTCAACACAAAACCCGATTCGCCGACAACACGGAACCATTTGCTGTCATTGGGGATATGCCCAGACACCCGAGTGTCGGAAACGCAGAGAGGGCAGATGAGGCAGGCGGCAAGTGAAGGGCATATCTGTGGGGTTGACCTAAGCCTCATCGACACCATCGACAACGATACTGACGCTTCGCTGTGGCTTGGTCTGCTCAACGTCGCCAAGCGGGAGCAGGGCAAAGATGGCGTGCTTGCCGTATGGAACGCCCTTCAAAGCCGGAAGGCATTGCGCGCCGCAGACGGCGAAGACGCAGAGCCCCTCTGGACGATGATTCTGGAGGTCTTCATGGATGATGAGAGCCAACTCCAGCGCGTCGTCTCGTATGCCGAGTGGATGCTCGAGGCTCACTCTGCCCGGTGGCCGTCTCTGTACCCAACAATCGTCTCTCAATGCCTCCGCAACGGCCAATACCGAAGAGCGATGCGATGGCACATGCGCCTGATGCCGAACTTCGATCCCGGCCCAGAAGCTTTCGGCACCATGCTCTGTCGATTCATTACAAACACCGAGGCTGGTTTGCAGCAGACCTTGAAGTCGCTGTATGTTTCGACTTGCCACCACAGCCTCTACGACGACGTTGTCCCACTGCTGTATGAGAGCGGGCTCTCCCAGCTCTGCGCGGAATGGCGCGGCCTGTTCCTTCTTTTTGGCGACGTACCAAATCACACGGTCAAGTCTGAGCCTTACTTGAGATTTCTGACTCGTTACTACCCAGGCACGCCTCTCAAGTTGGAGGAACAGTTGGTACTGGAAGGGAGTCTACCGGTGCGCTGGGGCATGCAGCGTGAATCCCTGCTGGATGTAATGGATGGCACGCACGAGGTGGACCATGGATCGACGGGCAGGCGGTACAGCGATACATTGGGCGCGCGCTGGTTTGCAAGCTCCTGGCTACCTCTAGACTTCGCAATTCACGCCGTCCACGCTCTCGGGGTACGCCAAATCGGGCCTTTGTCATTGCAGTCTATTGCCCTGCGCGAGCCCACCCCCGACGCAGTCATGGGTCGCATAGAACAGTTGCACAAAGTCAATATCGGCATCGGCCATTCGACCTACGCTCTGGCGGTCAGACATTTTGCAGAAACCGCCCAGCACGAGCTGCTCCACGAGCTGCTACACACCGACATACATCCGGAAGTGTTTGACGACCTGGCCACACTCGAAAGCATCCGCGACGAAGCCCTCCATGCGGAAAATATGAGGACGTATCACTTGCTGCTCGCCATACAGCCCGCAGTTACTCAAGAGTCAATCGATACCACGTCAAACCTCCTGCTGCAGCAAAGTCTTCAACAAGGCCAGGCCCGCCACGCGCTTGCTCTTATGAGGGACATGCGCTCCATGGACATCGATCTCTCCGCGACGTCTATTGAGCATATCTATTCCAACATTATGGAACCCTTATCTTGGAATCCGCACATAGCATCTGTCACGTGGGAGATCTTGCGAACCGCCATCGACTACTTGAACCATCTGATGCTGCTGCGGGCGCCTGTACCTGGACGCTACTGGCAAAAAGTGCTTTTCGGGTTGGGGAAATTCGGACGCTTCGACGACGTAGAAGGCGTCTGTATCGGTCTGCTCGACGCATATCAAAATGGGCACATGGTGCCGGGCGGGTTGCTGGGTGTGCACCCTGCGGATGCCCCGCCGAGCAATGGTATAGGCTCGAGGAGGACGCTGCACATCCCGGCAGACCTGCCCGTCACACACGGTTATCATCCTTTGCACAAAATCTTTGAAAATCGGAAGTTACAAGTAGCCATTGCCCGATGGGGTTTCAAACGCTCCGTCTCGCAGGAGTCGGCCTCGACATCAGTGGGAGACGACAAGCTGGTTATTCTGCGGGGTGTCCGGCTACTTGGCCAGCTGCAGAAGCGCGGTGTACTGTTGCAAGAGTCTGCCATTCGACGCGAAGTCATCCGACTCTTAGCTCAATTCCTTCGTCCGCAAAGCAAGAAAGCAGCAGTTAGACTACCCGACCTGGCTACTGTAACGAAACAGATTAATGAAGCTCTCGGTCAATCTAAAGGGCAGGGCTTAATGCCTGAAATCAGTGTCCTGGAAGGACTGATTGTGGACGACGTCCACAGGCGACGCGGGAGGACGCATCGCGATTGAGGACGAGAATACAGATTCGCTCAACATTTGTCTAGAAGAAAATCATACATTTAATTTACACCTCGTCTCTCATCTCACCACATGTCGTTCCCAGTGCCTACTCGTCGCCATGCTTTTTGGGCTTAATCACTAGCAAAATGATTAAGCCCGCAATGATGATCAAGAGCAACAGTATTATCTTCCGCTTTGTCGTCTTCTTCTGGTATCCGGCGGCAACGACCAGCTCCTTCTCGGCTCCCTTTACGTCCGTGGCCATGCGCTCGACGTTGTAGTCTATCCTGTCCAGCATGGTGCCCTGGTCGATCACCATGTTCTGCAGGTCGCGGAAGATGTCGGCCAGCTCAATGATACCCTGTGCAATATCCTCAATCTCACGTTCGCGCTGAGTGATGGCTGTGTCATTCGATTGGAGGAGCTTTTGCTGTGTAGCCTGGAGAGTTGATTGTGAAAAGGATCTGTCCGCGTCCGACTCGAGCATTGAGGGGTCCATGTAGGAGCTTGAAGGCTGCGGTGTTGACCCCCTATCCGCACTGGCCACGCCGCCCCCGAGGCCGCTCATCCCGCGTAGTTCTGCGTTGTTATCAATAGGCTGTCACGGGATATGTGCCAGAGCTCACACTTACTTTTCAGATATGCGCTCTGCTTCTTTCTGAATAGCGCGCTAGCTTCTTGGACTCGAGAAGCCAATGATATCTGTATGTTCTTGGCCATCGTCTCTTCGGCGCTGGTAATGGTACCTGACTGTTTCGATTCCCTGACCATCTGTTCGACCTTTTGAATGCACCGATGGCAGTCATGGAAAGCCTTGGTGATTTGCTGCGTGAGAGTCTCAATCTCTCTTTCCTCCGCCTTCTTGGTGTCCTCGTCATTGAAACCGGGTAGCACATGCTTCTGGTGTAAGCGCTCAAGAGCCTGACTCCTGGTGGCTATGTCGGCCAGCAGGTCGGTGATTTCATCGGATACATCGGCCCACCGGGGTGGAAGGAGATCCATCTCTATGACGGCATCGCCATCGTCCTCGAAGGCGCCAGCCGAGAGGAGGCCGCGGGTATCGTCGCTCCCACTAGCATAGCTGCTACCTCCAAAGGCATCGCCGAAGCCATTCCCACCGGCTGCACCACCGTATTTGGAGCGTTTCGTAGGATGGTGCGCATACGTTTGCCGATAGGAAATATACCTGCAGTGGGAGGCTGGGTGTCAGCGAGAGACGGGACGAGCAGCTTCGCAGGTGCGTTTGAGGGATGCGAAGCGCAGGCGGCAGGCTTACAGGTTCGTGCGGTCTCGCCACATGGCGGACGCCAGATAGCTGCGATAGTACTCCTCAGCCTGGGGTCCTTTGTCGCTCGCTGCGCGGGCTGCTCAGGGTCGTCGTCATGAACGGAGGGTCGTGGAGGGAGAACAGGACACCATTGGCGTGGGCAAGACGTAACGTGACGAGTGCCGACGAGTGCCGACGAGTCGCGAAAGTGTAATAGGTGTCGGTTGTCAAATACGCAAGGGCGGACAGATGTCAACGGGAGTTGTCAAGGGCGGCTGAACGTGTGCGCGCTGTCCGGAATGGCAAGGTACAGCTCTAAGACTCGATTTGCATGACTTTTCGCAGGTATGCGCAGGAGGTATGTGGTTTGTAAGTTACCCAACTCAGACTGGTCGGCAAGTGACAGACAGCTTCTTGAATCTCGAGGTGCTCGTGCTCCAGACCGGGGATTCGCCGACAGGTGGTCGCATTAATATTACCTACATTTTACCCTGGGTACATTGGATTGTTGGAATTGGACAGGTATCTAATGGTGGAACAGATTGCGTCAGGCCTGCCACCTCCAGGTAGAGGCAGGCACCTATGCCGCAACCACGGACTGAGGCGCCTGTAGACCGACCGGCAGCTCCTGACTGTCTGTGCTGGCGAGACTGCTCACCTAAGCTACCTTTGGCAGTAGATTGAGGTATGAGTAACAGGCAGCGTGCAAGTTACAGTGGGAACTTGGCTGCCAAAATTCCACCTTGAGTCAACTCATCTTATGTCAGCCTGTATCGTGATTAATGTACCTGGAAAATTAAGCTGTGGGTTCCATGTTGGAATACAGTGACACCTGGCACGCCTGGCAGTCATCACCCTTTATTATTTGTCGAAGGGTCCATCCCAAAGGACACACAAGTTCAGTCTTATTCACAGGTACCTTACGGAACGGTGTATCTACCTATGAATACCTACCATGGGCACCTTACGCCAGGTTTGTAGAGCTCATGAGGCTCCGTGCCTTACCTGGAACTCTTCAACGAGGGTGCCTCACCTACATAAGGCCTAGGTAGGTAAGTGAGGACAAGACTGGGACTGCCTTGGAGACTTCGAAAGGCAGCTTAAGCGCAGCCTGGTCGACATGGTTCAACACCTGATGCTCCAAACGCCGGCCCAGCCTGTCAGCTTCCAGCCTTCGACGCCCGCGGCCCCCCTATCGCCCGACCACATTCCCCCCTTCCGCCCCATTCCTCCCCACGAGCTGCACACTAAAGAAAAGCTCGACCCCCAAGGCATCCAGTAGCATCTAATCCGGCCAGGACCTGAGAACAACTCTTGCGAATATCCTCCGGCTTCAGCAACTCGGCCTCCATTACATTCGGACACCTCAGACTCCCAAATATCCATTCCGCAACCCATAGTCTCTATCCGTCATGGTCAGTAACGTCGCTTTACAACTTTGCGCCCTGTCCCGCATCGACACACCATCTTCTGGAGCCAACCCCGCGGCTGAGGGGTTGTTGATTGTTGATTGTTGATACCCATCGCCTCCGCCCATGCTGACGCCGTCTCTTCATTTAGGCTGACTCCCTCACCGAAGAGCAAGTCTCCGAGTTCAAGGAGGCCTTCTCCCTCTTTGTAAGTCGCTTTCTTCATCTCGCCGCCATTTGCTCCTGGCAACAGTCGTGGCCTTTGCTAACCCACCCAAGGACAAGGATGGCGATGGTCAGTGCCTCACCCCTTTTGCTCCCCCCCTTCGATGCGCTTCTGAGAACGCCGTTCGCGACCGTCGATACACCAGCGGCATTCGATGCTGCCGTCGAGGCATGCAGAATCGGGCTAAAGAGTTGGACAGGCCAAATCACTACAAAGGAGCTGGGCACCGTCATGCGCTCTCTCGGCCAGAACCCTTCCGAGTCGGAGCTCCAGGACATGATCAACGAGGTCGACGCCGACAACAACGGCACCATCGACTTTCCCGGTAGGTGGACATGCGGAATTCTGCGCCACACAACACAGGCCCGCTGACTGGTCTCCAGAGTTCCTGACTATGATGGCCCGCAAGATGAAGGATACCGACTCCGAAGAGGAGATTCGCGAGGCTTTCAAGGTTGGCTATGACGGTGCTTTTCCGCTGCGATCGACGTTGACTCTACTAGGTCTTTGACCGCGACAACAACGGCTTCATCTCCGCCGCCGAACTGCGTCACGTCATGACCTCCATTGGTGAGAAGCTCACCGACGACGAGGTTGACGAGATGATTCGCGAGGCCGATCAGGACGGCGATGGACGCATTGACTGTGAGTGTCGACTACGATTGTTATGCGTCACGCGCACTAACAGGCGGTGTAGACAACGAGTTCGTCCAGCTCATGATGCAGAAGTAAGGCGTCAGGTTGTTCGAGCAGCGGCGCCAAGCCTAGAACACTGGCGACGTGACGTTTCGTTTCTTGCGAGGAAAGACGTGGGTAGGCCTTCGGGTCTGGTTTGGTTGGGGAGGGGGGGAAAGTAATGCATCCCTTCTCGACGGCGCAAGTTTCCTTGCTCAAAGACCCAGCGGAAGGACGACTTTGACATTCGGACGGATGGAGGACTCTATGATTACGTCTCGTTACCAGCACGCTTGCCTGTCCCGTTCCTGCTCTCATGATTCTTTTATAACGAATACACACCCCCCACAGACAGAGACACAAGACGTGGTTCGATGAGACCGGGGTTGCACTTAGAAGAGGTTTCCTCTAGGACGACGAATGCAAAAGTCAAGTAGCACCAGGCGGACCCAGCAGTATGTGAAGTTGTTGCATGTCAGGTGTTGAGAAGTCGTTGTCGATCGTCAGGTGCCCAAACAATGGTCGGGCAAGGGAACCACAGCCCAGAACCTCTTCAGCAGAGCTAATCAAATGTGCTTGACACGGCAGAACGATCTGACTTGGCAGGGCTGCAGGCACTGCCTCGATTTGACCCTCATAACTAAGCTAAGAAGAAAGAAACAAGCGACGACGGGAGCTACTGGACCACACTGTGGACGACTCGAATGCACAGTCGCAGCTTAGGTGCCTGCTGAATAGGCCTACGACAGTGCCCCTAAAACCCCTGAAGCTTACCGACCCGCCACGGGAATAATTTGCGCCTGACATATAGGGCCGCATTCTAACATCGGCTCCACTGACGTGACGCTAGGACCTGCCAGTGCCAGGCTGGAGACCTGCTGTACCTGCGGGCACCAGCACCGATACGTGCACCGTCGAGCCCGCCCGGACCTGACATCCTGGGCATGCCAATCTGGTCTATTCGTCGACAATCGAAAGTCTGCTGCAACTCGACCATTCCAACATCTCGACGCTGGTGACTCGCGAAACGAGAGCTCCCGACGAGCCTGCATCCTCGTTCATTTCACCCGTAGGCACGATCAGCCTGTTCCAGGCCCTACACGGGCCGCCCCTTGTTGCCCGACATGAGCTCCTGTACGAGCGTAGCCCCTGCCCCTCTATGTCGCTGGTCTCGAGCTGACGTGCATTATACCACAGTGAAGCAATTCATCCGCAACGTTAGAGCCGCCAAGACCATTGCCGACGAACGAGCTGTCATCCAGAAGGAAAGCGCTTCTATTCGAGCAAGCTTCAGGGAAGAGAGTGGCGATCACAGCGTGAGGTGGGCATCCGCTCCGAGACGCCCAACCCAAGGCATCGGGACCGTAGCTGACTGTCGAGTAACAGAAGGAACAATGTCGCCAAGCTCCTCTACCTCTTCACCCTTGGCGAGCGGACTCATTTCGGTCAGATTGAGTGTCTGAAGCTGCTGGCCTCTCCGCGATTCGCAGATAAGCGCCTGGGTCATTTGGCAACCAGTTTACTACTTGACGAGAATCAGGAGGTGTTGACACTGGTCACAAACTCGCTCAAAAAGTATGCATGTTATGTCTTTGGTGACTATACAGTCGTGAACTAACTCGCTGCAGTGACCTCTCCCACTCGAACCAATATGTCGTCGGCCTGGCCCTCTGCACCCTCGGCAATATTGCATCTATCGAAATGTCCAGAGATCTATTCGCCGAAGTCGAGGCTTGTATTAACACGTCGAACCCCTATATTCGGAGGAAAGCCGCCCTTTGCGCCATGCGTATATGCCGGAAGGTCCCCGACCTCCAGGAGCACTTCGTCGACAAGGCCCACCAGCTCTTGTCCGACCGGAATCATGGTGTCTTGCTTTGCGGTCTGACTCTGGTCACTAGCTTGTGCGAGGCCGACGAGGAAGAAGGTGGGGAGGAAGGGATTGTCGAAAAGTTCAAGTCCTTCGTGCCGGGCCTTGTCAGGACTCTGAAGGGGTTGGCAACATCCGGCTATGCCCCCGAACACGACGTGACAGGCATCACCGACCCCTTCGTTCAAGTCAAGATTCTGCGCCTTCTGAGGGTGCTAGCCATGGGAGACGCGCAGGTCACCGAGCAAATCAACGATATTCTGGCTCAGGTTGCGACGAACACGGACTCATCAAAGAATGTGGGGAACTCTATCCTGTACGAGGCTGTACTCACGATTCTGGACATTGAGGCCGACTCTGGTTTACGCGTCCTTGGAGTCAACATCCTGGGCAAGTTCTTGTCCAACCGCGATAACAACATCCGCTACGTCGCTCTGAATACGCTCATCAAAGTCGTGGCCATCGAGCCGAATGCCGTCCAGAGGCATCGCAACACGATTCTCGAGTGTTTGAGAGACCCCGATATCAGCATCAGGAGGCGCGCTCTAGAGCTAAGCTTCACCCTTATTAACGAGAGCAACGTCCGAGTTCTTATCCGGGAGCTGCTCGCCTTCCTCGAGGTCGCCGACAACGAGTTTAAGCCCACAATGACCAGTCAAATAGGCATCGCTGCGGATAAGTTTGCTCCCAACAAGCGCTGGCACGTCGATACTATGCTTCGAGTACTCACTCTCGCCGGAAACTACGTCAAGGAGCCCATCATGTCCTCCTTCATCCGATTGGTCGCCACCGCGCCCGAACTGCAGACGTACGCGGTTCAAAAGCTCTATACGAATCTGAAGAAGGATATCACTCAAGAGAGTTTGACGCAAGCCGGAGCATGGTGCATTGGCGAGTACGGGGACGCTCTGCTGAGAGGAGGTCAGTATGAGGAGGAGGAACTCGTGCAGGAGGTGAAGGAGCATGAAATCATTGATCTCTTCTCAACCATTTTGAACAGCAACTATGCCACCCAGGTATCGACCGAGTATATCGTCACGGCGCTCATCAAGCTCACAACGAGATTGTCCGACTCGACGCAGATCGCAAGAGTTCGCCAGCTGTTGGAGATTCACCAAACGAGTTTGGACGTCGAAGTGCAGCAAAGAGCCGTTGAGTACAGCAACCTCTTTTCGTATGACCAGATCCGCAACGGCGTCTTGGAGAAGATGCCGCCTCCTCAGATCAAGGAGGAGTCGCGCGTGTTGGGCCCCGCAACGACCAAAAAGTCTGCAAAGGCTGCGAACAGGAGATCCCGCGTTGTCAAACCCACTGAGCAGGATCTCCTATTCGATCTCATGGACACTCCCCCCACAACTACACCTGCTCCTGGCGGTGCCTCCAACACCGATCTGCTTGCCGACATTTTGGGCGGCACATCGTCACCTCCTACTTCCGCTTCTCCCCAGCCGCAACAATCCAATGTTGCGTCGATAATGGACCTTTTCTCTCCAGGCCCTGCTCAGCCAGCGGCCTCCCCTGCCCCCGTCGTAGGCGGCGGCTCAAACATGGACCTGATGTCATCAATGGCTGCCGCAACCCCTCCACCCCAGCCGCAAGCTGCTCCGCAGGCGCCAGCAGGTCTACCAGTCTACGACAACAATGGGCTCAACGTCAGCTTCCAGGTTCAGCGCAATGCCGAGGGTCTTGTCCAGGCCATTGCGCGGTTCCGAAACTCGGGTGCTGGTCCTTTGTCAAACGTGGGACTGCAAGCAGCTGTTCCCAAGACGCAGAAGCTGCAGCTCATGAGCATCTCCAGTACGGAAGTCGGCCCGGGTGCTGAGGCCACCCAGAAAATGATTGTCTCTGGGGCCAAGGGAGTAAGTCAAGTTCATGGCCGATTGATACAGACAAAGCTAATTGTATGCAGCCACTGCGGTTACGCTTGAGAATTGGCTATGCGCACCCATCAGCCGGAGAAGTGATGGACCAGGTGAACTGGACCGAGCCATCTTGAGGCGGCGGCCTTCCAAGATCAAATGAGCATTGATGACTTGGGCTTGTGTATTTAATATGGCAAGGCAAGCGTGATCAAAATAGATGAATCTATAAGGATGAAAAGTCGTGCAGCGTTCTTAGTACTGGTACCTCAAAACCATATTAAGATGGTTCGTAGTTTAGGTTTAACGTTTAGGGAGTTTTATAGGGACTGAGCCTAATAGGCGTCCTATATTACTTAAGCATATAAGGTATAAAGCACTAGACTGCTTAATTTTCCTATATCTGCGCGGCTATATTTTCTATTTATAGAGTATTACCTCTTATAGTATTATAATACTATATATTATATATAGTTAAAATATATAGTATATTATATTAGAAATCTTAATATTACTACTATATTATATATTACTGTATTAATAGTATATAGTATATTAGTTATTATTAATATATAATATATAATATTTTTATAATAATATTAATATATATAATAATAACTTATATTTTTAAATATTATATATAAAATAAATAAATAGACTTAATAATATAAAGCCTTATATAAAATACTATATTACTTATAACTTATAATTTTAAGTTTAACTATATAATATATATAATTAATATATATAGGCTACTAGCCTTATATTGTGAAATTTAACTAGTATTAACTATAAAAGCTAGACTAGTCCCCTCACCCTCTACTAATAGCCTTTAGGTTATATAACTATAGACTTAGATATCTTAACTTTAACTATTATAATAAGCTAAGTTAACTATCTTCCTCTAGTTACTTCTATCTCTATTAGTCTCCTCTATTTCTTACGCTATATTTAATCTATACCTATCTTCCTCTCCTCTACTATTTAGATATCTATACTATAATAGATAACGTCTTCTACCCTACTATATAGTCTTAATAAAGAGCCTTACTACTATTAGCTATACTCTTAATATATATATTTGCCCTTCCTAATTTACTAATATTCCCCTTAGGCTACTTTAGCTATTTTAAAGAAGTCTATAAAGTATTTATAAGTATTAGAATTATTATTAGTAGCTTTAACTATCTCTATATTAATTTTAAAACTATATAACTCTAATATATTATACTTATTAGCTATTTTAAGTAAATACTTCTAGGTAAATTTAAATAAAGTCTTCTTAGTAGTATAAAGAAATTACTATATTTAGAGCCTTTAATTTTATT